CATTCCCTGGGGTGGGAGACGCCCACTTAGCAAAATGAAGCCTCCATCCCGGCCTGCTGCTCTCTGAACAGCATGATGCTCTGTCTGGGAAGCCTGGGGGCTGCTAGCCGTGGACTGTGACTGCCTTATGGTTGCTGGTATCTTGGCTTAGTGACTGAAGGCGTGAGGCAGTGATCGTCTGAGGACAGCCCATCTCCAGATGTTTTTGCCAGCCGCCTGACACACCAAGGTGGGCCTTCTCCCAGACACTGTCCCCTTCCGCACTCCTTGCCTTCACCTGGACCAGTCACACAGCAGCTGGGGCACCCCTCTCTTCTTCCCAGCTGCTGACAGATGGGCCTAGGAGGGCTCCTCTGGCTGTGACTTGATGGGGCGGTGAGCTAGTCATCATGAGCCAGCCAGGGCTCTCCTATTTCACTGCAGAGGAGCTTGAGCCAGGCTGGTGGAGGTGGCTGCAGCTGAGGGAGAGCACAGCTGGGTCCCGTGAGGCCTGTCGACGGCGACACATAGGGCAGCAGGCCCATGAGTGCTGTTGAACCAGCCTGTTCAGGCTCTGGGACCGAGCATGAAATGGAAGTGCAAAACCCCTGTCCTTGGGAGCTGGCTTCCTGCTGGGAGACAGACCATAAACATTAAGGTGGGAGCAGGGAGGCAGAGGGATTGGGAGGCCTCTCTCAGAATGTCCAGGACGTGTAGGCAGCATCCCAGTAGGCCTGCACCGTGCACGTTTGAGGGCCTGAGGGAGGCAGGGTCAGAAGGAAGAGCTGAGAGGCAGTCCTCACCATTCTGTCTCCAGCCCCGAGCTCCTGAAGAGGCTGGTGGGACATCCCTGAGAGCTGGTGTGAGAAGTGGGACACTGAGCCGACCACAGAGTAGTGTGGGCGTCAGGGAGAGATGCTGGGGCTACAGGGAGGGGGTGCTGGGGCTTCAGGGAGATGGAGAGGGGGGTGCCGGGGCCTCAGGGAGAGGGGGGTGCCGGGGCCTCAGGGAGAGGGGGGTGCCGGGGCCTCAGGGAGAGGGGGGTGCCGGGGCCTCAGGGAGAGGGGGGTGCCGGGGCCTCAGGGAGAGGGGGGTGCCGGGGCCTCAGGGAGAGGGAGGTGCCGGGGCTTCTGGGAGGAGGTGCTGGGGCTTCAGGGAGAGGGGGGTGCTGGGGCTTCAGGGAGAGGGGGGTGCTGGGGCCTCAGGGAGAGGGGTGCTGGGGCTTCAGGGAAAGGGGGGTGCTGGGGCTTCAGGGAGAGGGGGTTGCTGGGGCTTCAGGGAGAGGGGGCTGCTGGGGCCTCAGGGAGAGGGGAGTGCTGGGTCTTTAGGCAGGATGTGCCACCATGGCATTGGACACATGGCCTCTGGGGCTGCAGGCTCTGCTTTGCTTTTGTGTAATTAGATGTGATGATTTATGTTTCATTACGAAGGAGAGTAAAAATAGAATAAAACAAAGTCTAAGATGATTTTGAAATTATTTCATAGCATTTAGAAGAAAGGAAAACGTGGATGAGGCGTGGTGTCTCATGCCTGTATTCCTGGCACTTTGGGAGGCCAAGGTGGGTAGATCATCTGAGGTCAGGAGTTCAAGACTAGCCTGGAACATGGTGAAACCCCATCTCTACTAAAAATACAAAAATTAGCCAGGCGTGGTGGCGCTCACCTATAATACCAGCTACTGGGAGGCTGAGACAGGAGAATTATTACTTGAACCTGGAAGGTGGAGATTGCAGTGAGCTGAGATCTTGCCATTGCACTTGAGCCTGGGGGACAAGACTGAAACTCTGTCTCAAAAAAAAAGGAAAAGGTGATCACCCCCACTGCATTTCAGCCCACGTTCACCTCAGGTGTTTCCAGCGTGGCTGCGGCAGCCTGTGTGGTCTGCGTCAGGGAGTGGCCACCAGGATGTGCTGACCTAGTTTGCAGGGAAGCACGAGGAGGCCTCACCGTCACAGCCACAGGCCTTGTTTCAGGAATAGAACGAGATAGAGAGGGAGTTGTTCCAAATAGGTCATTGCCGTGTCCCACACCCCCTCAGACCCTGGAAGAGTAAGATAAATGCACACGAAAAATCCCCAATTAATTGAAAATTGTTTTAGATCTTATAGGGAAAACTGACATGAGAATCGTATTTAGTTCCGACCAAGAATATAAAAACGCCGTCTGTGTTCATGTCTCTCTCTCTGCCATCTGGGGCAAGACTCAGATTCTTTGCCCCCGTCAGAACCTGAGCTCTCATCCACTGTGTCTGAAACGCTCAGCTGTGTGTTGAAGTTTTCAGTTACGCGTTTTGGTGCTGAGAATGCAGGCGAGACTGTTAGCATTTTAAAATGTAATTTAATTTTTTTTTCGAGACAGTCTTGCTCTGTCGCCAGGCGCCAGGCTGCAGTGCAGTGGCACGATCTTAACTCACTGCAGCCTCTGCCTCCTGGGTTAAAGCAGTTCTCCTCCCTCACCCTCCCGAGTAGTTAGGACTACAGGCACGTGCCACCACACCCAGCTAATTGTTGTATTTTTTAGTAGAGATGGGGTTTCACCATGTTGGCCAGGATGGTCTCAATCTCTTGACCTTGTGATCCGCCCACCTTGGCCTCCCAAAGTGCTGGGATTATAGGCATGAGCTACCGTGCCCAGACTCATTTTTTATTTTTTAATTTTTTATTTATGAGACAGGGTCTCACTCTGTCACCCAGGTTGGAGTGCAGTGGCGCAGTCTCAGCTCACTGTGGCCTCCGCCTCCAGGCTCAAGCAGTTCTCGTGCCTCAGCCTCCCGAGTAGCTGGGACTACAGATGTGCGCCCCCACACCTGGCTAATTTTTTAAGTAGAGACAGGGTTTCACCATGTTGGCCAGGCTGGTCTTGAACTCCTGATCTCAAGTGATCCACTACCTCAGCCTCCCAAAGTGTTGGGATTACAGACGTGAGCCACCGTGCCCTGCCTTATCTTTATTTTCAGTAGACACTGGCTCTTTGCTATTGCCCAGGCCAGTCTTGAACTCCTGGACTTAAGCAGTCCTCTAGCATCAGTCTTCCAAAGTGCTGGGATTATAGGTGTGAGCCACCATGCCCAATCTCGTTTTCTTTTTCTTTGAGACGGGGTCTTGCTCTGTTGCCCAGGCTGGAAAGCAGTGGTTGGTGGTTGCAGTCTTGGCTAACTGCATCTTCTGCATCCATGGCTCAAGCCTCCAGAGTAGCTGAGACTGCAGGTGTGTGCTATCATGCCCAGCTAATTTTTTTTTTTTTTTTTTTTTTTTTGAGACTGAATCTCACTCTGTCGTCCAGCCTGGAGTGTAGTGGTGCCATTTGGGCTCACTGAAACCTCCGCCTACCAAGTTCAAGTGGTTCTCCTGCTTCAGTCTCCTGAGTAGTTTGGATTACAGGTGTTTACCACTATGCCCGACTAATTTTTACCATTTTTAGTAGAAATGGGGTCTCACCATGTAGGTCAGGCTCATCTTGAACTCTTGACCTCAAATTATCCTCCCATCTCAGCCTCCCAAAGTGCTGGGATTACAAGTGTGAGCCACTGCATTCGGCCTAATTTTTGTAGAGATGGGGTTTCACCATGTTGCCCAGGCTAGTCTCAATCTCCTGGGCTGAAGCAGTCCACCTGCCTCAGCCTCCCAAAGTGCAGGCATAAGCCACCGTGCCTGGCCCCAACCTTCACTTTAAAAATAAGTGGAATACTTAATCAACATCTTTAACACAATCTGTGGGCTTCAGAGGCAAGCAGGCTCCGTCTTGGTCAGGAGGCCCGTTCTGGGACAGGCTTGGTAAGTATTGCTACGTTATAAGTAGCTGGTCCATTTTAAGCAAGTGGTTGAATTAACAGTGAGACAATGTGAGGACACCTGTCTCCCGTCACTCGCAGGCCTCAGGAGGTGCTTTGACTGTGTATATCACCGAGAGGCTGGAAAAAAGGAAAAGCCAGTGCCTTTTCCTGCAGGAGGAGAGGCAGGTGCTGTGGCATTGGTTGTGTTTGCAAAGTGATGTGTCTGTGGCTGACTGTCTGTCATGGGAAGACAGCTTTTCCTTTAAAGTTCTTCTCATAAAACACTGATTATAGAAAATAAGCAAAAAGAAGGAAGTGAAAACTGCATGAGCCCAGCACCCAGGAAAAGGTGGTATTTTCGTGTTATTTCATGATCCCTACACCTTCCCATGTAAATGTTTTTAAAGGTTTAAATCTAACACTTTCTAAAGACTGTGAGCAGTTTTACAGAGCTCAACATCTTGCTCATTATTTCTTTTAAGAAATAAAAAGGGCCGGGCGCGGTGGCTCAAGCCTGTAATCCCAGCACTTTGGGAGGCTGAGGCGGGTGGATCACGAGGTCAAGAGATTGAGACCATCCTGGTCAACAAGGTGAAACCCCGTCTCTACTAAAAATACAAAAAATTAGCTGGGCATGTTGGCGCGTGCCTTTAATCCCAGCTACTCAGGAGGCTGAGGCCGGAGAATCGCCTGAACCCAGGAGGCAGAGGTTGCAGTGAGCCGAGATCGTGCCATTGCACTCCAGCCTGGGCAACAAGAGCGAAACTCTGTCTCAAAAAAAAAAAAGAAAAGAAAAAAGAAATAAAAAGTTGGCCGGGTGCGGTAGTGCACACCTGTAAGCCCAGCACTTTGGGAGGCCGAGGTGGGTGAGTCACAAGGTCAGATGTTCAAGACCAGCCTGGCCAACATGGTGAAACCCTGTCTCTTTAAAAAAAAAAAAAAAAAAAAAGAAAATTTAAAAATTAAAATAAATAAATAAATAAAAACTTTATTTCTTATGTGCTTCCTCCTCAGAATTCTTGCCAGGAGCCTTGTTCCTGTGGGGGATGTGGCTCTGAGCCATCTGCCAGGCTGCTTTCTCTCCCTGGATTTCTCATGCTCACTGCCTTGTTTGTCCTGACCTCCAGGGCTCCCAACTCCCGCACATCAGTCCCTGGGGCATCCTTCCCAGGGATCCCCAAGGCTAGCAGGGGCCCCCTCACCAGGTGGCTGTGGGTGGCCTGCTGAGCATGGGGTCTTTTCCCCACAGATCCCGATGGCCAGCGCTACGGCGGCGTTGCATCTGCCCAAGGTGAGGAACCCCTGGCCTGCCCGGACGAGTTTGATGACTTCGTTACCTATGAGGCAAGTGGTGTTCACCCCGGAGCTTAGGGGGAGTCTGGCATCCACCTCTTCCTTTATGCCCCACAGGTCGTGCTTCCTGCCCCCGGGCCGTCTTCTGTAGACGCTGGCGTGGAGGGAGGGCCTCCTGCCTGCCTGCACCCTGGGGCTCTGTGGCCGGTGGGCTCTGAGGGCTTTGGCTGCGACAGGAGGCCCACAGTTTTCTGTCCCACACGCCCTCTCAGTCTGGGCAGGAGTCCTCCCCCGGGGCCTGTCACCCAGCAGAGGCTGGGTGGACAGCAGTGTCATGACCACTGCTGCCAGGCACAGGTGGAGCAGACGGCTTGGGAGGATTCCTTTTGTCAACTTCCAAATGGTTTTCTGTGTTTGGGGATGTCTGACTAATGCCTGCCCCTGCGTGGCTTCCTCCATCCTGCTCTCATATGCAGCTAGTGTTGTCACGGTGGTGTGTTGTCTCCTGTCACTGTGGGTCCCGTGTTCATAACACAGCTGCGGAGAGGGTCAATGAGCACAGCGTGGTCTACGGAGTGTAACCACACCCGCCAGTCTGGAGGGTGGGATTCCCGGAGAGCCACGTGGCTGCCATCAGAAATGTTCTTCTTCACAAAATGCATTAAGTTGAACCTGAGCCTTTGTGGAGCTCTGGGAAGGTGGAGGTGGCAGCCACCAGCTCTGTCAGCCTGCTGCTGAGCAAAGGCACTGGAAGTGAGGCTGAGCTGCCAGTCGGTGGGGCCTGGGCTTCTTATGTCAGTCCTCTGAGCACTGACTACTCGAAAGATAAGGCTGTCACAGGGTAGGATTTGAGTCACTTCTGGCTGCCACCGTACCATGGGAGCCATGGGATTCTACTCTGTTCCTTGCTCTGAGAAGCTGCTCCAGGGATTAGTCACCCTCAGGAGGCCAGCTTCACTTCTGCCCACACAGACCCTGCCCAGACCCCTGGGGCAGTCCTCCCTTCCAGCTGTGTCCTGATTATCAGCTGGTCTGCAGCTTCCGGGGCAGGGCGCCCACCCTGGGTCCCATGTTTGGCTCTGCCTTGGTGTGTTCTTTCTGCACGTGAAGCAGCGGCGAGGTGCTGGCCCAGAGGGCGTGTGGTGGGAGTCGGGCCCTCTCACGTGGCTGCAGCGTGCAGGACGTGCTGGGAGACCCCAAGACCCCAGAAGGCAGCTCCTGTGCCCGGAGAAGGACCTGGCTTCTTCATGGAGAGATACACACAGCCCTGCAGTGTTACCCAGAGCTATTGGCCTGCAGCATCTGGGGAGCTGGGCGTTCATGTGCACTTTCTCACCTGTATCTGTCTTTCTGTTCCCCTCTTATGTTTCTTACGGCATTGTTGATTTTTTATATCCTGCATATGGTGCAGTGGCTAAAGAGTGGCCTCTCAAAAGATACGTCCACCCAGAACCTGTGGCTGTGACCTTATTGGAAAAAAGTCTTTGCAGATGTAATTCATTAAGGATCTCAAGATGACATCATGCTGGTTTGGGGTGGGCTGTAAATCCAGTGATAGGTGTCCCGGAGAGCAGGAGAAAAACACAGGAAGAAGGCATTAGGAAGAAGGGGGCAGAGACTGGCCACAGCCAGGGAACTCCTGGGGCTCCCAGAAGCCAGCAGAGGCAAAGATGCATCCTCTCCGAGAGCCTTAGGCAGGAACCAGCCCTGCCAACACCTTGGCTTTGTGTTTTGTGTAGAGACGGGGTTTCACCGTGCTTCCAGGCTGGTCTCAATCTCCTGGGCTGAAGCAGTCCATCTGCCTCAGCCTCCCAAAGTGCTGAGATTACAGGCATATGCCACTGTGCCTGGCCCCAACCTTCGCTTTTAAAATAAGTGATTGACGTTAGCATAGCTTGTGTTAAAGGTATTTAGTAAGCAATGCTACGTTATAAATAGCTGTTATATTTTAAGCAAGTGTTTGAATTAATAGACAGTGTGAGGACACCTGAGTGTCTTTCGTAGTCGAAGCCTCTGCAAGGTGCTTTGACTTGTGAATATCACCGAGAGGTGGAAGCCAGTGCCTTTTCCTGCAGGAGAGGCAGGTGCTGTGGCATTGGTTGTGTTTGCAAAGTGATGTGTCTGTGGCTGACTGTCTGTCATGAGAAGACAGCTTTTCCTTTAAAGTTCTTCTCATAAAACATTGATCATAGAAGATAAATCCAGAACAGAGAGGATAAACTTGTGTTTCCTCAAGCCCCGTGGTCTGTGTTGGTTTGCTGTGGCTGCCCTGGGGCATGGATACCTTGTTACGTTACTCAAGGCACTGAATCAATGTATTTTATCCTTTTTTTTTTTTTTTTAAGTTTTTTGGCTGTAAGTTTATTCAGTGCAAAATAATCCTCTCCAATTTTACTGAGGTGGCTGACCACGTCCACAACCAAATCTGCCTCTAAACTGGAATTCAGTTGCTGACCCAGCCCCAGCCTTGGCTTTCTTACTGGTACCAGGTGGCACAGCACTCCCTCTGTAGGTATCTGTTGGCTTCCTCTCTTGTGAGTCCTGCAGGTCTCTCACCCTCCAGACCTTTAGGCAGAGGCCTTCCAGTCTCTGGACAGCTGCAGCGTAGGCAGGCACAGTCTCCACGGGCAGATGAAGGTCATCACGGAGATACTGGATACCCTTATTGGTAAGACACCAGTAGAAACGTCTCCAGGCAAACGGTTCCTTCACGTAGCCTTGGGACTTGAGAGACTGCATGGCCTTCACAACATGAAGCGTGGGCACATTCTTGTCTGCCGGCTCCAGTGCTTAGGCATGTGGATATCCTTCTTGGCCACCATGACTCCCTCCTTAAGAAGGAGTTCATCAATGGCAATCTGGTTCTTCTTCGGCATCAACATCTCGGCGGCTGTAGGTGCCGGGGCCGGGCTGTGCATTTGGTCCTTAAGGGCCTGTGTGGTCTGAATGGCGTGGCCCTCAAGCCTCACACTTGTCACTTCAGAAGGGTGGAACCTGACATTTCAGAGTGAAACCTTCTCATATTTTTATATCCTAATTTCTTTTTTAGAATGGAGGAAACATTTAAGTTTTTTTACTTCATGTTTTAGAGCAATTTTAGGTTTACAGAAAATGTAACAGTGCAGAGCATTCTGGTACCCTCCTAAATTTCCCTGTGAGGAGCATCTTGCATCAGCGTGATACATTGGTTAGGGACCTACTCTAACACTGATACGTTATTCTTTTGTTTTGTTTGAGACAGTCTTGCTCCATTACCCAGGCTGGAGTGTAGCAACACAGTCTCTATCTTGGCTCACTGCAACCTCTGCCTCCTGGGCTCAGCCTCTCATGAGTGGCTGGGACCACGCCCAGTAACCACCACACCTGGCTAATTTTTTGTAGAGACAGGGTTTCACCATGTTACCTAGGATAGTCTCAAACAACTCCTGAGCTCAAGCGAACCCTGCCTTGGCCTGCCAAAGTGTTGGGATTACAGGTGTGAGCCACTGCACCTGGCCTGATACGTTATTATTTTTTTGAGACAGAGTTTCACTCCTTGCCCAGGCTATAGTATAATGGTACAATCTCAGCTCACTGCAACCTCCAGCTCCCGAGTTCAAGCAGTTCTCCTGCCTCAGCCTCCCAAGTAGCTGGGATTTCTGGCATGAGCCATCACGCCTGGCCTGAACGTTATTAACTGAAGTTCATAGTTTACATTAGGGCTCACTCTTGATGTTGTATATTCCATATTTTGACAAATGTAGAAGGACAGGTCCACCGTTATTGTGTCACAGAGTCGTGTCATTGCCCTAGAAATCCTATGCCCTGGGCAAGGTGTGATGCCTCATACCTGTAATCCCAGCACTTTGGGAGGCCAAGGCGTGTGGATCAGCTGAGACCAGGAGTTTGAAACCAGCCTGGCCAACATGGTGAAAACCTGTCTCTACGAAAAATACAAAAATTAGCTGTACGTAGTGGCACACACTTGTGATCCCAGCTGCTCCGGAGCCTGAGGCAGGAGAATTGCCTGACCCCAGGAGGCGGGGGTTACAATGAGCTGAGATTGTGCCACTGTACTCCAGTCTGGGCGACAGAGCGAGACTCCATCTCAAAAACAAAACAAAACGAAATCCCGTGTTCTGCTGGCTCATCCCCCCACACCAGCCCCGACAACCACCGATCCTCTGTATCTCTACAGCTCTGCCTTTTCCAGACGTCCCGGAGCTGGAAACATCTGGCAATTGGCCTTTTCAGATGGGCTCCTTTTCCTTAGTAAATGTGCACTTACGGTTCCTCCATGTCTTGCTTTGCTATTTAAGGGTGGGATGTAATTTTCCACAAAGTGGAATTAGATACTGTGAAACTTATGGAAAGATTGTTCTTTTGAAAAACAGCTTGCACATCATATAATCTTTTTTTTTGAGACAGAGTTTCCGCTCTTGTTACCCAGGCTGGAGCGCAGTGGTGCAATCTTGGCTCACCGCAACCTCCGCCTCTTGGGTTCAGGCAATTCTCCTGCCTCAGCCTCCTGAGTAGCTGGGATTACAGGCACGCGCCACCATGCCCAGCTAATTTTTGTATTTTTAGTAGAGACGGGGTTTCACCATGTTGACCAGGATGGTCTCGATCTCTTGACCTCGTGATCCACCCGCCTCAGCCTCCCAAAGTGCTGGGATTACAGACGTGAGCCACTGCGCCCGGCCCGCACATCATATAAACTTAAAAAAATAAGCCTAATAAAGATATGAGTGGGGAATATGTTTGTTACATCAGATAGCCTATTTGGAGACCCTACGCTGGTGATCTTCAGGTAAATAAACCTTGTATTGATTGATATTGTGAAGTTGGTTCTAGTCAGACACATTTCTTTTTTTCTTTTTTCTTTTTTTTTTTTTTGAGACGGAATCTTGCTCTGTTGCTCAGGCTGGAGTGCAATGGCCTTGGCTCACTACAACCTCTGCTTCCTGGGTTCAAGTGATTCTCCCGCCTCAGCCTCCTGAGTAGCTGGGATTACAGACATGCGCCACCATGCCCAGCTAATTTTGGCATTTTTAGTAGAGACAAGGTTTCAC